CCGTGTTGCTACCCTCCGTTTCCTCAGCCCCCCCCCCCCTCCCCTCTCCCTCTCGCCAGCCCGGAATCTGGGGTACACCCGGCGTCCCCCAGCGTCCCCAGCAGCCCGCCTTTCTGCCTGGCGGCCGCTTCTGTAATCGTATCGCTAGGGCCCCGCCCGCGGCGCCACGCCGTGATTTATTCATTGACCAGCTTTCGCGAGCGGCCGGCGACGGACGCGTCGGTTCTGGCGCGCGTGCGGCCGACGCGGCGCGCGACACCCCGTCTGTCGGCACCGCCGCGCAGCCGGAGCCTTGGCGCGGAGAAACGCGCGGCTCGCGCGGCGCCGGACGCGCGGGAAAGTGGCTCTCGTGGGCGCCGCCATGTTGGTTTTCGTCACGGGCCGAGCGGCCTTGCCGCGGGCGCCGTGCCAGCCCCGTGATGGATCGACCGTTGTGAATGGGTTCCAGAGGCGGCTGCTGATGATCCGACCTGCCCCCCCCCCCCCTCCTCACTCCCCCTCTCGCGTTCACGGTTGTGTCACCTCTGGCCGGTGATGTGCTCCGCGAGGTGGCATCTCACGCGGCTGGTGGCACCGACGAAAGGTGCCCGGTGAAGGAGTGTGCGGTGGAGAATATGTTCAAAATTAAATCAAAAACCGCAGATTCAATCCCATTTATGCTCTCTGCGTCCACTGACTTGGGCAAAGCCACGAACCGGGAAAAATCTTGAGGCAGTGATAGTGAATGCTGTGGAGGGAGGGAAGAGGACAATACTATTTTTACTAATTTGGCCTCCATACGATTCCATAGCTTTCATCATCATGTCATTGAATGACATGTTTGGTTTCAAACGATCATGGAAGGCGGTAGCCCCCCCCCCCCCCTCCCTCCCCCCACTCCACTCGTGCACACCTCTTGTTTCCAACGTTGTGAATGAAGCCCTGCCAAAGGCAAGGAAAGTGTCATATATACGGGATTTACAGAAGATGAGAATACTTGCCGTTATATGTGTACAGCCATCGCGTCTGCATTGCCAGTTGTGTTGACTAAATGTACGTGCGCAGTCAAACAACGAACGCAAGTTCTCCCTCTCACCGTCTATTGAAGTGAATTGAAAAATTTCACTTCTTCCATGCACTCAACAAAATCTGTTCTTCCTGATGCGCGAGTTCACAGCATTACTAACAGCTGAAAGCATATTTTAAAGCAAAGCTGTAGAAGCAAAAAGTGTCTTGGTCCTGTTCTGTAGCATGGGAAACGCTGTTTGATGTTACTGATCATACCGTCGATATGCAATCACGAACAATAATTAGACTCAGCCCCAGCATGCATTCATTGTTGCTACATAGACAAGCGTTTTGTTCTCGTCATTGCGTTATGCACTTGTCAAATCTGTTGATCTGGCGCAGAACCCACCGACTCGTCACCTCAAGACATACGCCAGCAGGCTGTTTCAGATATTATGTTTCGAATTATGATAAAATGCTTCCGAAGAAAGTTTGATCAACATTTGTTTTTGTCTGCGTAACATTTTGTTGGCCGAAGCGCAACTGCATTTCAACCGCCGCCACGTGCGTTTCTCTCTCCACTCTTACCGCAAGCGCAAAAAACAGTCGATGACATCGCGGAGTGCATGCCGTTACTCATGCGCTGCGTGATCGGTGACGAGACAAAAACTAGTGCCGGGTGGAGCAGGAGTCAATTCATCGCCGCAGGCGCTCAATCAGCATGACGTCACGGCTGCCCGCCCGCGGACAGTGCGAACTAGTCTGTGGGAGTTGACTACTCGAGCCAGTTGGCGGGGTCTGTGGTGCCGCATACTACACCACGGGAGTCTGGGATGTCCTAGACCATCTCGCTGGAGTCTACAGCGCCGCAGACTAGCCCACGGGAGTCTACGATATCCTAGACCAGCCCACGGGAGTCTGCGGTGCGGCAGACTAGCCCACGGAAGTCAAGAGTGTCTTAGACCAGTCCGCGGGAGCCTGAAGTGCCGCAGAGCAGTCCCTCGGTAGTCTGCGGCGCCCAGCCTTGCCTGCCCGCCGTCTGTCCGTCCTGCGGGGCGGCCTGGGCCGCCAGGACCGCTCCGGCTGAGCGTCGCCGGGCGCCCGCGGTCGGCCTCACTTTTACCCGTCCGCCGCCTCCCGACCATCCATCTCACGAGCGTGTCACGCCGTCACGTGACCCCGCGCGGCCGGCGGCCGGCGCGCCGCGTGACCGGCGCGCTTGGCTTTGGCCACTGGAGCTGAACCGGTCAGTCGGTTGCCACATAGGGGGCGCCTCTTCTCCGCCGCCAGTCGTGGCAGGTGCGGACGACTCGGGCTTTCAAAACGCCGCCCGACAGCGGCCGTGTCATGCCGCAACGGCGCCTGCGCCGCGGTGTTGAGTTGTTAGGTTGACATGCGCGATTTGTACTGGGAGTCTCGCAGTTTGAGGAGAGTGATGCACCGGCGTGCTTTCCTCTCACATTTGCCCTTGCGGAGACACGCTGGGAGGTGGAAACGTGCTTGATGTGAGGACTTCCAACGATGACTCTCTTGGTCGGCAATTGAAGGAGGCTTTCCGGTGTTTTCATTTTCACTTCATGAAGACATAATTATGTTGGGAATGGTGTAAATCACTGGGAGAACGTTTGTCTGACGACCGCGTATGGAAACCTGCGGGTGCACGTTTGGCTTCTCGCCAAGAGTTTCATTGCCCCCGTGGTAATCGGTGCAACAGAAACCGACGCTAGGCGATCGCAGATGTTGAATGCGTGTTTCAGCTGTCATGATGTGCCTTAATTTGACTCGAAATCAGAGTGTTATTGAACTAAGCTCTATATATTATTTCAATTTGCGTGATGACATATGCCTTCGTTTGATAAATTGTTGGATTAGTTAAGTTATGGCATACTGAAGGCGTAATGAAATGAACGTTTTATGCTAAGTGAAGGGTTAAAGAGCTAGGTAAAGGAAAGTGAGTCCGCTTCTGAAAAGAATAGCATTCAACCCTAGGTACACATTTCCACACAATTATTGTGCTGTCAGAGAAACATTGAGCATGTTTGATTCGTTAGCATGCTAGCTAAAATGGCAACACTGGGCTTTTTGGTTATATTCATAACATATGATATATATATATATATATACATATATATATACATATATATATATATATATATATATATATATATATATATATATATATATACTTGGGTGTCAGCGTTGTGTGGCGTGGCTGGCACGCAGCCGGCTGCATTGGTGGCAGCGCCAAGCCTGCTCAGCTGGCTGTTGGTCCACACTCAGCCTGTGGTGAAAACCCACCGGCTGCTCCCGCTATACGGGTACCAGCTTCAGTCGGCTTACGTCATGGCCCGCTCGCCGGGCCGTGAGAACATCATTGTGCATGAATTAGGGGGCGTCTCTACCCGGTTAGTGCGCCCAGCCTGCACGGCTCGGACAGTTTGCCCGACTGACGCTATTCACGATTTGCTCTGTTTGTTGGGAAAGTCATTGCGTATGCTGATGCGAAGTGGCCTTGTGTATGCACGAGCCTGTGGATTCAGAGTAACCACGTCTGCGGGGTTCACTGTAATCTTGATCATCGGCTGTGTGATGGAAATCGTGACATCGAACGTTGCATATTCTGTCGTGGAGCTCGTACGTATATTCCCATGCTCCATTCATCCGCCACAGGCGCAACAGCGCTTCTGAAAGTGCGTCTCAAAAGGTCGGCATCACACGATCGCTCGGGATAAAATCAGGCCGCCGAGTCTGGGTTAATGATTTCGGCAAGAATTATGTCGGTAAGGTGTATGTAGTGTTCTCCCGTCATCGGTCAATACGGCCAGATAGCCGGAGACTGGCCCGAGCTGTTGCGTTAGAGCCTAGCTGTCTGCATATTTCAAGGGAACTTTGTGTTCGTGCAACATGATTTTGGATATGTCACGTAGGTACACATCGGAGCTCGGCTCACTGCCTGATGACTGTGCCGCCCTGCCACGCAAACATGCCGAACAGCTGTAATGCACTTAAACGAGTGTTTTGACATGCCATACCAGCTAGGTCATGCCTTGGGCATGCACAGGCTCACTGGGCATGGAATTTGCGGACCGACCGTCCCAAACGAGGCTCATTCGGCCACGCGTTGACCCGTAATTTTACGACCGGCGCTTGAGTCTCGGGTGCCGCGTACGTCACTAGCCCCATCAGCATATCCGGTGTAAAAGACCAGGACTCATAGGCGCACAGCAGCTGCAAGTCTATCGGCAAAGAAACATACCTCAATGGGCTGTTATTCTGGAGCCCGATAGGCAGGTGGTGTTTCTGGCTGCTGTCGGTATGCGTTCTCCCTGCGTTGCTGTGCTGTGCAGCAATGAAGTTTACAAATTTTGGGGCTCGATGCAAAAATAGTCTTCCTGCGTTACTGTTTTGTGGAGCAATGCAGTTACCGCACTCTCCCCCTGCAGTTCCCTCCCCGGACATACATCACATGCATTCGACGCGCGCTACGCTACAGTGTATGCTGACGGCTTTAATGTCCGAACCGTGGCCAAAGGAGCTTTTAATACGCTGCGGCCAGACGTTTATCGCATCTGCTACGGTCACGGGTGGGACACATCAGTGCCGCTGCCTCATTCACCGCATACATACTCTGACGTCACGTACCGCGGTCAATTCCGCCGTCCGTGACCCATGACGCTTCCGTGACCCGTGACACCTGCGTTGCAGCCACGGCATGGCCGTCTCGGCGGTGAGCTCCGAGATGCCTGGTGTCGACCTCAGCGGCACGGTGCTCGGTCAGTACTGCCCGGTGTCCGGCGAGCGCACCTGCCAGCCTCAGAAATACAGGTGAGGGAGCTAAGAGTCCGCCGGGCGGCGGGGACGGCAGGACCGGACCCCGGGCGGCGGGGATGGCAGGGCCGGGTCCCGGGCAGCGGGGACGGCAGGACCGGGCCCCGGGCGGCGGGGACGGCAGGACCGGGCCCGGGGCGGCGGGGATGGCAGGACCGGGCCTCGGGCGGCGGGGATGGCAGGATCGGGCCTCGGGCGGCGGAGATGGCAGGACCGGGTCCCGGGCAGCGGGGATGGCAGGACCGGGTCCCGGGCAGCGGGGATGGCAGGACCGGGCCCCGGGCGGCGGGGATGGCAGGACCGGGCGCCGGGCGGCGGGGATGGCAGGATCGGGCCTCGGGCGGCGGAGATGGCAGGACCGGGTCCCGGGCAGCGGGGATGGCAGGACCGGGCGCCGGGCGGCGGGGACGGCAGGACCGGGTCCCGGGCAGCGGGGATGGCAGGACCGGGCCCCGGGCGGCGGGGATGGCAGGACCGGGCGCCGGACAGCGAGGACAGCGATGCTCCAGCTAGGTTTTGCTGACCTGCGCGGAAAGATGCGCTAACATCCGGCAATATTCTAAAGAAATCGCGGAAGAAAGCACGCTGCTTCGACTATTCAAGCTGTCAGGAAACGGCCCTGCATTCTGCATACCTCCGGACTTTCTTGGGCCGATCCCCTGTGGGCCACCACAGTCGGGTTCTCTCCTCACAAGCGCTCCACACTTCCTCCAGGCCGTGGATAGTGAGAGCGATCGAAAGCGGCGGGAGAGAACGAGAGCCATGTTAGGCTCCTGTGACCCACTGACGCCGATGGTGATGTTGCAGGTCACTGGACGGGTTTTGCAACAACGTGCAACACGCGTCGTGGGGCAGCGCGCAGACCGCCTTGGCTCGGCTCCTGCAGCCAGCGTACACCGATGGTAGGTCTGACGAAAGGGCCGCCCTGGAGCCCTGTGGGTTCCATGGGAATGCGGCGTGCTGCACTTGTGGTGTTGGATGCGTCTCGTATCCGATGCAGATGATGCTGGTAACTAGCAGATTTTTCGTACGATCAGCCTTTTTGGTTGGGGTTAAGAGCATTGTAACGACTGACGCCGGCTGGGCAAGGAAATCACAAGGCATCTGGAGCTCCACCATGCAGTCATTATCTCACAGTTGTAAGTTACTCATAGTAACCCCGAACTTTGAGGTACCTACTGACACAATGAATGGCTGCGTAATGTCTTAGGAGGCATCTTAGATAGGCGCGCCGGATAATTGTGAATTGACGAATATTGCCACTAGTCGCCGTTCTGTGGGTGAATGCGGGTCCTTCGTTCGCTTTCTTTGGGTGCGCCCTTGACTTCATTCTGGCTTACATAGTCCTGTATGTACGGCGTGACCGGTATGCTGAACATGGAGTGGCTCAACTGCGCTTCCGCAAGAACCCCATTCACAGCCCAGCGGCGCGTCGATTGTGTCTCAAAGCACGCTCTGTACGAAAATAAAGGGAGCATTCGAGCTTCCACCGTCGGATACCGCAGCATCAGTGTCAGCAGTGTCAGCGGCGGTGTCAGTTCAGTTGAGTACCTAGCAAAGTACAGGGGGATCAGGAAGTAGGTAAACGTTCATCAAGTACTGACGTGGTTGTTGTAGTGCTGCCGGAGTGATTTTAGTTGTGTAGAGTTCCTATCCGAGGTCCTGACAGCTAATGGAGCTTCCGGAGCGCTCTAACGTCTGCCATCCTCGCTGGCAATATGCGTTTAAGCTTTTTCTGCTACTGAACGGGCTAGAAAACAATCCGAATATAACGCTTGTCACGTTGTGGCGTGACTCACCACACACTAGCTGTTCCGTCCGTCTTTCTTTTCACCAACAGCATACGTGAGTGCCAATGTGACTCGTCCACTGAGTGTCCACACTCGTCCGCCGAGTGTCCACATGCTCGTGTCGGCACACCCGGCCATCCCAGATCGCTGTCCTTTGTCACCACATCTCCCATTGTCCACCCACGTGACCCCTATCCGCTCACGTGCTCGCCGTCACCTGACGTGCCCCTCGTCCGTCGCCGTGTCCTGCTCCGCTTCGCTGCCCTTTATCCGCTCTCGCGACCCCAGTCGGCGCGCGCTCTCCCGGCGCCGGAGCGCGCGCCGCTGGCGACAGCGGAGCCGGCTAATCCGTCGTCCAGTTACGTCAGGCGGCGCCCTCTGACGGCCGTGATCGGCGTCCGGCCTGCCCCCGGTGGGACGTGGTGACCCGCTGGCGAAACCGGACGTGGGGCGGCCGGCTCAGGCCGGGCGACCCGGCGACGGCCGCCGGCGCGCGTGCGCCGCCTTCGTGACGGCGCGGAGGCCGCCAGCATGGCATGTCCTCACGAACGGGCCGGGGAGCGGGAGGGGGGGGGGGACTGACCTCGCCGCATGCGATGCGAGCCAGGAATCCGACGCGGCGTCGGCTGCTGATGTCATTTCCTGCCGGTATGTCGGAAGCCCAACGTGGCTATTTTTGCTCGCAGTTGACGGTTGGAAACTTTGGATCAGCGTGTGTTTGATCGTGTCATGAGGCACACAGACGTGGACTGGCTGGCCTGGTTGGTGCATTCAGCGCGGGGCGTCCTTCTACAGCGATCTTTTCTCTTGCGATCCTGTTTTGATTACTGGTCTACCAATCATGAAGTATAGATGCTGCAACGCAAACAGCTGGTTCGTGACCGTTACGAGCTAGAAATGCATGTTATTACTCTCACTTCTTTTCGCAAGTAGCCGTTAAACAAGACAGCATTCATAGCGGTACCATTTAGAGTCGTTTCAAGCACAACATCATGCACACAAACCTGCGTTCTATCATTAGCGAAGACCTCTAAGCGCTCCAATACTTGTAGCAAATGGGTGTAAAAGTTCATAACCCCAAACTTGTATCAACCACTTCATCCACATTGTGGGTCGCCATCATACTCTGGCATGATTTTGAAGCTATGATGTGATGTGACCTCATCAGATCCGTACCAAATACTGCATGTAATGACCTAACATGTCCTAGTCAGCAGGCCTTTGAGATAGATTCTTACTTGACATTCCTTTCTGTTGATCCTAACTGCTGCCTGACCATTTACACCAGATCATGTGCAGCTTCCGTGTGTTCCCCAGGTCAGTTCGTGATCCCGCGTGAGCTCATCAAGTCGACTTAATAGCCTATAGCTAAGTCATGTGACCCCAACTGACTCGTGTGTGCGTGTGTGTTTTGGTAAGGGTGGGGGTGAGGGGGGGGGGCGCACACAAAGAGATGGCTTACCGGGTCCGTGTTTGCGGCGCACCAAAATGTAACATCAGGAGGCTGTGAGTAAATACCAGAAAGACCTGATGGTCAGCAGGTGATGCTGCGATCAGAGGCCACATGTTCAACTGCTTCGGGCAGTCCGGCAACGAGCCTCTACCTTAATAATCATGTGCCCGCCTCAGGCCACCTACTTACGTCTAGCGAAACGGACTGGTCACGAACAAAGTCGGCCCTCCCATTTTTGTTTGTGTTTTGTGTTGTTTTTTTGTTGCGTATGTTTTGTCTAAGCTCCGACGCCTCCGTCACCAGGTCACCGGCCTTGAGACATCAACTAGCCAGTCGTTTGACCCAGGCCGGATAATCTGGAGACACTGACCTGCGACCCCAAGGACAACCTGATGTAATTTGCTGATCTAACCCACCTGCGCTAGGACCCGCTGAAAACTCCCCCTACTCGCGGGCTGACCTGACCGTCCTCCCGCCATCAGGTCTGTCGGCGCCGCGAGGTCAGAGCGCCGCCGGCGGTGACCTGCCCTCGGCTCGGGTCGTCTCGTCCCGCCTGACCCACCCGGGTCACAACCGGCACGAGTTCGTCACCGCCCTGATGGCGGTGTGGGCCGAGTTTGTCCATCACGACCTGGTGCACGTCGCCACAGCGGCACCCGGTACGTACGGTGCGCCGGCCGAAAACCGGCGTGTGGTCTCTGTGCTGCGTGAATGCCAGTATATCGGAGAGCCCGACCTCAGTACGTGTGCGTCGACGGGACCATGTGTAGGCAGACCATTACATGTCTCTGTTGATCTTATCTGCTGACGAGCCACTGGTGATAATGAAGGGTACCAGCCGTGCTGTGGCGCCAGGTACGCTGTCTGTACACTGTCGGAGATGTCACGTGGGGCAGATAAACAGTCACGCGGAGCGAATGAAGTGAAAAACTGTCATGCGTTCCGTACGTTTACGTCAACTTTGGTCACAAATCGGTTAACGATTCGCGTAAAAGCGATGCTGACAAGGAATGTGTACTGCTACCTTGCCCTCGGCTCCAACATAGGCGCACCTGAATCCCCTGAATAGGATGGTACCAGCCTACCATCCAGCCTCTGAGCCTACGGTTCCATGGCTGAGCGAAATCTGAAGGACACCTTGTCCGCGAGTCGCGCCTTTCCGTGTCCTTCAATGTGTAAATGCGAAGCCCTTCTGTACACGCGAAGCAAATGCACTGCACCACGGCACCGCGTGCTACCAAGCCAGCAGGATGGCAGGCAGTGCGCCTTCCTTGGCGTGAGCCTCGCACTCCCAGAATGGAGCAATACACCAACGCTTTTTCGCAGCCCGCTCCAGATGTGGGGCCGTGTGACATGAGGCTTGGTATTAGCAGGGAACGATTTATCACCCGAGATAAAAAGCATCACTTTCTAACAGGGCTGGTCGGAGGGCGGACCACGCAGGCGTTACTCCAGTGGCTCTGGGTCACCAGCCGCGACCAGCGGCGAGCGGAGAGGGTAGGGCGGGAGAGGGGAGGGGGGACTAGAAATCAGGGGCACCGAACACAGGCTGTGCGCTCAGGCAGGTAGGGCAAGATCTGTGAGTGTGCAGTGTTTGGGCAGTCGCAAGTTTCCAGTTGCGTGCAAAAAAAATGCAACAGAAATATATATATATATATATATTATATATATATATATATATATATATATATGAGTTTTTGAGGGCTCATATATGAATAGTAGTGCATAATCCCTGAGCTTTATGGCAGACTTTTCGTTATCAGGACAAGTGAACTTCGCAGGGGCCTCTGTTCTGCGCTTCTCTCAACACTATGGATAGATATTGCGCAGCGTTACAGTTTTTCTGCCGGACGTACCTTTGCCGCACTTTTCACATGGCGTGCGCATTCGTTGGCTCCCAACGCTGTCATCATTTGCTCTGTTTGCTTGCAGTCGTTGTCTTTCCTTCTCTGCTGTTTGTTCTACGAGTAAGTTTACCGGGAGGCTCAAATTTTATGCGCGATGCACACTTCTGCGCATGTTTTACGGTAGCTTAAGAAATCAGCAACACAGTTACACACAAGACACAAGAACGCAGTGACAAGCCTAGACTTGATGATACACTCAACCCAGCACCCATTGAGATTATCACTAGCCACCACTTCTCCCACCAAATCCAATGCGGTCCGAACCAACCAACTAACCTATAAACGAAACCGCAGCTTGAACCCCGCCCTATAGTAACCCTATCCAACATCGCATGTGCACCGCCCAATCTCTTCAGCCCGTGTCGGCTCATGCAAACAGCCCTCATATCCCTCATCAGCTCCAGTGACCTAGCCGCACATTTACCCGCCGTTCGCGTCCAATTTGATTCTCCGATCATACACCGCACACGGCCAGCCTAGCCGTGATTAGCATGGCCCACTGCCAGGCCGGCCTTGGTGCCGGCTCCAGCGGCGGCTGTTTTCGCTTCCCACACGTAATGGTAGCCGCGACCGGCGGCGGCGGCTGCGCCATGCGTGTTCGCCCGCCGGCGGTAGGTCTAGGTCGGAGAGGGGCCGCCGCCGCCGGCGGAAACGGCCGCCGGCACTGTCACGGAGACGTGACGCACAGTGGCAGGTCAGGGAGACGCGACGTCCGGTGGCAGGTCAGGGAGACGCGATGTCCGGTGGCGGGTCAGGGAGACGCGATATCCGGTGCCAGGTCAGGGAGACGCGACGTCCGGTGGAAGGTCAGGGAGACGCGGCAGGTCAGGGAGACGCCAAGTCCAGCGGCAGGTCAGGGAGACGCAACGTCCGGTGGCAGTTTAGCGAGACGCGACGTAGAGGGTCAGGGAGTTTTACCACTATTTGTTCCTTTCACAGTTTTGGTCCATGTGTGTTACGATACTTGTGGCTATTTACTTCGTACTGCCTCACACAAGCTGGCATCTGGGTATTGTTTATATTTTCCGCCCAGAACATGAAAGCAAGCGTCTTGCTTCGAGGCACGTGCGTAATGAGAACTAGTGGAGGATTCGTAGCCTGCAACAGCTGCATTTCTGCCCCAAGAAACTGTTGCGTGGTATAATGTTCTTTTTTCATAAGCATGCCCGAGTGCTGGTGTTCTACTTGCAAGGTTTGCAGTAGTGTCCAGATTTGGAGGCGCGATGAAATAAGGTGCAATGATTTACTTCGTTTTGTCGCACCTCCTTTGTACCTCCAATCTTTGAGGTATGGAGATGTCCAGAAAACAGCTCGAAACTTAACGGTGATCACGATTAATATGCCATACAGATGCATCCCTCCCAATATTACATGAATGAAACATCGAGATCACAAGTCTGGGCGCGACCAGGGTCTGGGCGCGACCAGGTGGTGGTCGCGCGGGAGACATCTGCTAGATGAGTTCGAAGTTTTCATGTTTAGCTTCCAGCCCTCAGTGCACTGGGAGGCACTGGTTTAAAGACGTTGTGGTGCTAATTAACAGTGCTTCAGTATCCCGAAGTTAACAAAATAATGCAGATCTGCGGAAGTGTCGTCCTACGGAAGGTACGCTACAGTGCTGTGCTGTGGAAGGTTAGGTACGCTAGCCTGCATGTTTGCGGCGTGTCTGAATAGTACAGCAGGTCTGCTCTCAGGTCGACTTCGTTCCCCAGCTTCGTGCTCTGTTGCTGCAGTTCTGAGCCGCCTCACCGCACCTTTCAGAGGCACCGCTTTCGTCCCCGTCGTCGCTAGTGTGGAGGGCAGATATCACCGGCCGCGTCACGTCATGACGGCTCGCGCAGCGTTTGCCGCTCATGACGCCGGCGACGAGTGTTTGCGCGCGCGCGTGCGTTTGTCCGGGGCAGTCGGTCAAGGCGGCCGCTGGAGGCGGCGGACGCAGCTCCAGACGACCTTACCGTGCGTCGCCTCGGGCGCCGTCCTCCGCCGGCTGACGGATCGGCGGCCCGCGGCGGCGGCGAGCGCGGCGCACTGCGACGGGCGCGGCGCGCCCTTGGCAGCCGCAGCCGATGATGTGATTTGTCGGCGCCCGGGGAAACGATCCGTGCCCCGCCCGCCTTCCCGCTTTGGCGGTTGGCGGTCTGATGATGGGTCGTTGACGGTTGGAGCCGTCGGATGACGGGTTGCTGAGAGTTGGAGTCGTTGGGTGGTGGTTCATTGACGGCTGGAGCCGTCGGGTGGTGGTTCATTGACGGCTGGGGCTGTCGGAGGATGGGTCGCGCGGAGCGGCTCACTCGGCTCATGGCTCGCCATCACGCCCCAGAGGCCTAAGCAGGCGGCGGCGGTGGTGCAATGGTACAGCTCGTGATCAGAGGCCCACGGCAGCGTGCGGATGTGCGGCGGTCAGACACAGGGCATAACGCGAGAAATCAAGTCCAGGAAGACGAAAAGGCTGAAACTAAATGATAAGGTCGACTACCATGTACGTGACGTTTCTAGTACCTTATCAGTGGCTTATGGCGTGTGCTGATCACTTTACCTATGGCTCTTGCATGACTCTGTGATGCTGTCCGTGACTCTGTCCATGACTGTCTGTCATTGTGTCCATTACTCAGTCGGTGACTCCGTCCGTGACTCCGTCCGTGACTCCGCCCGTGACTCTTCCGTGGCTATATCTGTGACTCTGTCCGTGACTGCCAATGACTCTGTCCGTGACTCTGCCGGTGTATGTGATTGGACAGGTGCGGACGGCGCGGCCGACTGCTGCCGGGGCTCGGAGGAGGCGCGCTGTCTGCCCATCCTGTCACCGGGGCACTGCCAGGAGTACGTCCGCTCACTCTCCTCGCTCCAGATGGGCTGCCACCTCGGTGAGTGAGTCCACCGGCCGCTGTGACGTCACACAGGCAGGGCGGACGGTCGCGATCACACGGAGATGCTCAAGGGAAAACCTAGCGTGCACTGTAATCGTGTTTTCTGGGCTCATTGCTGATGAGTGAATAACTCTATAGAAAAAATAGAAGAGCGAATCCTTGGCAAATTGCTGTTTTTGCAAAAGAGCGATCGGTAAACACGGGTGCGTTTCACAGACTATGCCAAAAAAGGTATTGCCAACCTATAATATAACTTTGGTCTCGTGACATTAACGATGCGACACATATGACAACGTTAGATTCAGTAACTGCTGACCAGTGCCCTTCTTTCGATGACTGTTGTGGTCATGCCCTCCATATTTGTGAACATTTTCATTTTATACAAACTCCATAACAACAATCCCGCCTCGCGAATAACCGCAGAAGCCACGGGAGGCTAGTGCCACTCTGCCAAGGACTTGTGAACGTCAACGCCTCCATTAATTGTTATCATGTGCGCTGCAGGCCGGTCCAATGGCCATACCGGGCAGTGGCTATCACATGGCGATCACAAATCTAGACGTCGTCCAGCCATCCTTGGTTCCGTCTTTTTACTACCAATTCCGAGGCGCTGACCTGCCTTACCTACTAAACACTTACACCTAAACATTGCATGAGCCTTGACCTCGTTTGTCTTCGTCCATACGATACCTCACCACCCAATTGACTGACCGGCGGCCTCAACCGGCTGACCTGTGACCTTACCCGTGGCCTAACCCGGCTGACCTGTGACCTGACCCGGGCCGTCGGCAGGTCCTCGGGAGCAGATGAACCTGGCCACGTCCTTCCTGGACGGCAGCTCCTTGTACGGCACCACGAAGACGGGCGGACACCGCCTGCGAGTGCTCTCGCGAGGCCAGCTGAAGATGAACCGGGACGGCACGCTGCCCACCACCGACGCCACGCCCTGCCGCGGCAAACAGAACAGGTCAGCAGGGCGGCCGGGACCGCCGGTGACCGGGGTCGAGTGCTGGCGTACCTGCTGACGGCAGCGTGACGTCAAAGGCATGTCGTGACGTTATAGGGCGGCATGGCCTGTGACCATCAGCTGCGCGCTGTACCGTTGCCGTTCCCCGTGACCTTTGTGACCGTGACCGTGACGGCGACCGTGACCGTGGCCGAAGCCACATGAGCCATGATCGAGCATCTGGACACTTCCACCACTGGGTTGTTGCCAGTCAGCTGTGTCCAATGTTCAGCTGGTTTGGCATTTTGACGGCCTCTCGTATGTACTACTCCATCACTCGCTGATGTATGAGCATTGCGAGCCAACATTTTCGCATACGTCGTTCTAATACTGTGCGGTGCTGATGCACGGTTATATACGGAGATGACCTTTTTGCGTCACGAATCAGACAAATGAATGCCACCGGGTTAATACGAAACCCTGTTTCCTGAGCTGCACGCCAGACACTCGTGAACATAATGCAACGAGCCACACTTCACGCCTTCACGTGCGCTCGAGGAGGAAGGACAGCTGACGCACTGTCCCCCACTTCGTCCCAGACTCCAACTACCCCACCGAACCCGATGTCTGCGCTCCACACTGGCCACACGGGCTCTCGACTCAGCTCTGCCGCCGCCGCAGGTGTCCGCTGACAGGAGACCCGCGGGCCAACACGCACTCGGCCATCAGCGCCCTGTACGCGCTGCTGGTGCGTGAGCACAACCGGCTGGCCGGCCGGCTGGCCGACCTTAACCCGCACTGGGGCGACGAGATGGTCTTCCAGGAGGCGCGCCGCCTGCTGGTGGCCCAGCTGCAGCACATCACCTTCAAGGAGTTCGTGCCCGCCGTGCTGGGACAGGTACGGCTGGGGTCAGGGGAGGGGCTGGAGCGCAGGGAAGGGGCGGGATGTGGCAGGGCGAAGTGTGCAGCCTACAATGCGTGTTATCTGGGGACATTTGAAGTGATGGTGCTGGCGGTTGTGTTGACGGCTGTCAGCCATGGATAGAGTAAGAGTCAGAGTCAGAGTTAGAGTCAAATCCAATGATGATCTTTAAGCTCTTCAGCTCTGGCTCAAATCGACTTGCCAGGTTTTCGGAAGATCATCCGCGCTGCAGCTTAATCAGCTGTGAACACAACTTGACATGAACACAACTTAATTAAATGACAACGTCTTCTACGCTAAGCAAATCTTAGATAGCATTCGGTCCAAGCAATGCCTTATTTCGCCACACGCGATAGCCATGCGTGTTTGGGAGCGTCGTCAAATAAGGTCATCGGGCATCATCTCTGGAGCCTCACACCTGATCGGATTCTCTCACGGTGTTTCCAATTATCCCCACCGTGCCTCAGGCGTGTGTCTCACCACCGTGCCTCAGGCGTGTGTCTCACCACCGAGCCTCAGGCGTGTGTCTATCCCCACCGTGCCTCAGGCGTGTGTCTCACCACCATGCTTCAGGCGTGTGTCTCACCACCGTGCCTCAGGCGTGTGTCTCACCACCGTGCCTCAGGCGTGTGTCTCACCACCGTGCCTCAGGCGTGTGTCTATCCCCACCGTGCCTCAGGCGTGTGTCTCACCGGTGACCCGCACGCTGGCAGGAGGTCACCAAGTTCTTCCAGCTGGAGCTGCTGTCTGCCGGCTTCTACCAGAACTACTCGATGGACGAGTACCCAGGCGTAACGAACGCAGCAGCCAGTGCCGCACTGCAGTTCTACCAGGCTCTACTGCCGGGATACCTGCAGTACATCAGCGTGGTAAGTGAGCACGGCCTAGTTCTACCGGCAAGGCAAGCACGCAAAGACACTTTTTCAGTTTCGTCTCAGCAGGAAGCTAGGTTACTTGCATTATATCAACGTGGCAAATACACCCGCTCCAGTTCTAACAGTGTCTCCTGCTCCGCCGTCCGAGGCGTACCGCCCTGCCCATTGTGCTGTCATCTGCAGTAAACCTGCGTGG